CTTTTATCATTTCAAACAAAAAATATTAAAATCAATCAACTATTTTTTATTTTTTTTTCTTTCTCTCAAAAATTTCTAAAATGTAATAATATACTTGATGATTAAACTGAGATATCATGATGAAAGGGTAGAAAATTTGCTACATTAGTAACATCTAAAGCTTTTTTGTAAGAGGCATATTTGATATCGATCGGAATAAAAATTTTGTTCCACCCAACTACCAAATAATGCTACTTGAATTATATCAGCATTTCCAATTAATTATTGCTTTCATCCGACAGATTAATTAATGATAATTTGTTGTCATTAATTGTGATTAATTCAACTACTACTACTAGTGCAATCCAACTAATAATACCCGTTGTCATGCATTAAGGTCATTAATTAGGTTAAGTGAGAAAAAGATAATTTGAGCCTGTCGTTAATGAGTGAGACTTTTAATGACGTGTGGATTGGTTTATATCGATGCGTCTTCCTAAAGTTAATTATTTTGAGGGAGAGTTTTGCCGTCCTTGTGGTTCTACCCGATTCGATTCCGAATTAGTTGATTCTCATGTGGATCTAGAAACCGAAAGGTCTATGTACCAAAAAAAAGGTTAATTATTTTGAAGATTATTGTGGTTTGTATGATTCTTTATGAGGATTTACGGGGTGTTTGTTTACAAATTAATCCGAGTTTTTTTAGTAAATTATGGCTAATTTAAAAAAAAATAGTATAATTAGTTGTTATAGATTGATGATTAGTTAAAATTATGTGAATGAGTGAATAGTGAATTAGAGTTGATAAGATGCGTAAAAATAATTCATTGTTACTATTTAATTATATTAATAATATTGATGATACTAGTGTTGATTTAAAATTGAGTTAGATCTTGAGTATTAATTGAAGATGGATTGAGTAATTTTGTTTACAAATATATGCGGAATCTTATTTTTCAAATTAACTCGATAATGCATAGTATAAATTATGTGTATTGATGAAAATAAAACATTGTAAATTATATGTATTGATATAAATCTTAAAATTCTTAATTAAAAAAAAAATAAAAAAAAAGTGAGGATCAATTATTTTGTTAAAAAAAAGGTAAATATTTTGGTCTTTTTATAGTACCATCATATCAATCGACTCACACACCCGTGCAAAATCTGCTTTAGAGATTATTCAACTTGTTCTTGTTAAAATATCGTTTCCATTTTCTCAAGTGTAAATTACAAAAGCACCCTTATAAATAATAAAAAAAAAAATTTAAATTGACTGGCCAAAAATTAACTCGAACAGATATATAAAAGAAGAATAAATGAAAAAAGAAAAAATTAATTAAATTATCTTCTTCTAGCTACAGCAGGGAGTATATTTGAGATCAACGGTCGAGATTTAACTATATTGGCCTTGAAGGGATTGCAGAAAAAAGCTGGAACAAAAGATGATGTCTCTGCTGTTTGGTTTGAACTATTAAATAAAACGATATGTTGGTTATTGACAGTTGAGCATTACAAAAGTTGTACAAAGTTATTCCTTTCTTGCTAAAAGAACCAAATTATAAATATGGAGGGATAAAATGCATCCCTAATTAACTGTGTAAAACTATAGTGCTTTTGTAAATATATTCGGTGTTGTTTGATTAAAACCGTACCATTCGAACAAATAATCGAACCGCACGGAAATTTGTCATGCGGATTTCTAAAATTCTACCGCATTATTGAAAACAGAACACTTGAAAAATCGAACCCAACCGCACTGAATGCATCGATTCGATTTATAAGAAACTAAGGAAAAAACGAGTGCGGTCCCACTAACATGAAGCGCACTAAAAGCGGGAAAAGCCCATATGAAGCCCAAGTGGGGTTCCATCCCAAAACCAATTGGTGGAAGGAGGAGTAGCCCATTAGACTTATAAGGTGGGTCTATTTTCCATGTATGAACGATGTGGGACAACTCACAAGTGATATTCTAACACGCCCCCTCACTTGTGAGTCCTTCGAAAGCCTAAGTCCAAGCCCTACTAAAAACAGGCTCCCATAAACGGGTACGTGGGTCCAAGCCCTACTAGAAATAGGCTGGGTAAACGGGTACGTCATCGCACGGTCCCACATAGAATCGGCTGATCGCACGGTCCCACGGCTCTGATACCATGTAAGAAACTGGGAAAAAAACGAGTGCGGTCCCACTAAATGAAGCGCACCAAAAGCGGGGAAAGCTCATATGAAGCCCAAGTGGGGTTCCATCCCAAAACCAATTGGTGGAAGGAGGAGTAGCCCATTAGACTATAAGGTGGGTCTATTTTCCACGTATCAACGATGTGAGACAACTTACAAGTGATATTCTAACATATTTTTCGGTTTCAGTTCAGTTTTTCTTACCTCATGGCCAATAGATTGATTTAGATATTTAGCAAGTTGAATTATATTATAGTAAAATTCTATAAGTCATCCGCTAATGCATTTATCTATTCGTCTTCAACAAATAATCAAACGTGTCTAACTAGATAATAAATAGTAAAAAATAACACTACTTGAAATTGAAAGGACCGATGTGCAATTACAAAAAAAATAAAATTTCATTTTGCAGAACAGAAATTTCAAGTGGGACCCCAATGAAAAGGACACAACACAGCCATAGCCTGTGGGGTTCGAGAAAGTGAAAACTGTAATTTCCCTCTCCTTCGTGTTCAATTTTTTCTTACAGTCCCACGGTAAAAAAAAGATAAGAGACGGTAAAAAAGGTAAAATCAAAAGCAGACAAGAAAGAGAAAAAGGCAAATCTGTATTTGATACGCAAGCCGAGAGCCAATTGGAGAAGAAGCACGTGCACTGCACACGTATTTTTCTCTCGCATTGCATGTGAAACGTTTCCTTTTCTCCACCGTTTGAGCTTTTTAATTGCAATTTTGTATTTGTGTTGAAATCTTTTTATATTATAAAATAAAAAAATGGTACTAGTAACATAAATGAATAATAATAAAATTAAATAATAACGTTTTATTATTTTTTGGAATATTTATATTCGGATTTTGGAATGTTTAGAAATGGGTAGAGTTTTATTTTTTGGAATGTTAATTTATTTAATTTATGTATAGTTAATTTGGCTCCATGTATAGACAAAATTGAATATTTTCTTATATCAGATGATAATATTCACTACAAGAAAACACTTTAATTCTAATGGCAAAAATTTTTGTTGGAAATTCCAATGAATATTCTAACAAATTTAATTTTATGTTGGAGTAAGTGTTGGATGATTGAGGAATTCCAACGGATTTTTTTCCGTTGGAATAGTTGTAGGAATTTATTTTTATTGGATTTTCCGTTGAATTTTATCTATTCTAACGGCCGTTTTTCCCACGAATTTTTATACGTAGGAATATCCGTTGGAATAGTTATTCCAACGGAAAATATAAAGAATTCCAACGAATGTAAGATTTTTTTTTGCAGTGATTGTCCATTAACTTGCGCAATTTCTTAACTTCTCCACATAAATAAAAATTAAATTGTTGGATTTTGGAAAAAAAATAAAAATAAATCAATTACTGGACAATTTTTGTAATTTTTTGGCAAAATTTTGTGCTTGGATTTTAATAACTAATGAATGAATTTTGCTATCATCAAAATTAGTTAATAAAATTTATCATATTTGATATATCTTAAAATGCTGAGCAATTTTTTTAAGTATTTTAGCCAATATATGTTTCCAATTAACTAGATGTTACGTGGCATTTGGAATTAATGTGTCGAATTGTTAAATCTGAACATGGAAAAGAATTCATGCACGTCTTTTTTTTGTTTCTTTCATTTGAATTTTAGTTTCAGTACTATAAATTTTTATTTTTTTTGGTATAGGGACCTTCCAATTTCCAGATTCACAAGGAAATCGACTAATCCGAAATCGAGCCGGGTAGGACCACAAGGACGGCAAAACTTTCCCTCAAGAGTTTTAACACTGTTGCATTCCCAAGGCTCGAACGCTATAAATTGACAATATAAATAAATTCATTCATGACCGTCAATCTCGGGGAGTGTATTTGTTTAGGCGAAAATGTCACTAATTAATCACATTTCATTTTCCATGCAAATGTCATTTTCCAATAAAAAAATGTTTGCATGAGTCGCCTACTCTTCTTATGGCAATTTGGGCACACAAATGAGGCAATCTTCAAATCAATTTTAAAAGAATGTATATGGACATTTAATTGAACATTTGAACTGTATTGCAAAAGGTGATACAGCTGATTTGAATTCGAATGTATCACACATGTGGGCTTGTCAATTAGCCAACAAAATTCCAGATTTTTGGACCTACTTTTTGAAAATTTTGTAATAGAATAAATCAAACATATCTATAAACAAAATAATATAAGTTTTTTTTTTTTTGTGAAAAAAAAATACTAGTACAAAATAAATTAATTAATACAACCATTTATATCATGAAAAAAAAGCAAGTCATAATATAGTAAGACTGCCGTCAAGAAAATCAAACAATTAGTCAGTTGTATTTTTTTCAATAATTTTAACATGCGTATAAATATATATTTTTGTAAAAATAAAAAAATTAAAAAAATGACGGATTGACCCACATCCAAATTACAAAAACAAACTATGGAGATTATATTATATATTAAACTAAAATATTTGATTTTTTTTAATTTTTTTTTGAAATAGTACTATTGACAGGTGGGGTCAATTTTAGTGGTGTCTAACCAATTTTGGACCGTGAACATTATTGACCCACACAGTTATTTATTGTGAAA